CATGCTCGCTACGTGGAAACGTTAGCCGAAGACGATGTTCTAAAAGCCTTAATGTGGATGTTAAGGAAATTCTTAAAATTCCCGGTACCAGATCCAATAAAGTTCATTCGCACTCAATGGTACACAAATAGTAACTTCCGCGGCACCTACAGTTATCGTACCCTATATACTGATGAGTTGCGGACGGGAGCTTGGGATCTAGCGAAACATACGACAGATGACGATGACAAACCCATTGTGCAATTTGCTGGCGAAGCGACTCATAATCATTATTTTGGTACTGTTCATGGTGCGATCGAGACTGGCTGGCGAGAAGCAGATCGTTTAATTAGTTACTACGAAATGAAGAAGAGCTCGAATTGAATTTTTGACAAGATATGATAGACAATAATACTTTTTTTTTTTTTAATAAATAAAAACGAAATGAAAGATGTGCATGTGATCCAGATTTCAAATTGGAGTCAAGCAAAAGTTTGATTATTTTGTTTGATTGTTTTTAAGGATAGCTTATCTAAAACCGGTTTGTTTTTTCAATTTTTGTGTTTTTGCTTTTGTTTATTGGACAGTGGTGGCATATTAAGTTTAACCTTGAATTTGAATAGCATTGTAATATACATAAGGTGTAGATATATTTAGAATGGAATGGAAGGGCATTGGACGCTTGTTAACTGCAAGGCTTGCTTGTAAATGATTAGTTGCTTGACGTGTTTGATTAGCTTAAGGCACTGCATAAACAATCCAACACAAAATATAGTATCTTGGAGCGTTGAATAGTTGGAGTTCTATGCCAAAGAAACGTCATGTCCTGCGCTATTAAACCCTCACTTGCAATGAATAGCGGATACATCACGGTATCCAAAGTTCAAATGGGTGCGTGGTCTATTGTAGTTTGGTGGAAAGAAATGAAATTATCACACTATGCAGTGCTAATAACAATAGTTGATCCAGTCGGGACAAAAAATGGATGGTCTCATATCAAAAGCCATGAAAACGCGAACTTCCAATATGATTCATGTAGCGAAACTCGGTCAGGAAATAGCTAGAATGGAGTATCCTTTTCGTTGCTATCAGCGGATATTACCCGTTCCAATGGATGATTTGTTATTTACTTTGACGAAAATGATTTGCTTTGGGACGAGACATTTGTTTGAAATAGAATCCGAAAATTGCCTGCGTATAATGGTAAAGGGAAAAATTTCAAAACAACTCTCAAAATTTATTTGTATACACAGTAATAACGATCTAAGCTATTCGACGACTTTATCGCTATAGCCGGCCATTGAAATACCCCCGACGCCTTGATGTCTTTCAAACTTGAATAGCAGTCGCAGAACTATGCCATTGTCATGGAGGTGTTCGTATTATTTATTTGATAACATTTCGGATCAGAAAATGTTTCCAGTTTTATTACGCTTATGCAATGTAAGCGCACCGCCATAGACGGGGCCTATGTTGTAGCAGAATATATGAAGAATGAATCCAGAGTTCACTTCATTTTTGTCACTTTCTTCACCATATCGTCTTCAGCAAATGTGAAGATAAGTTGGGAGTGGCTTAACAATTAAGAACTCTTCTTGACCATAAGGCGGATAAGACTCTCATATGGTGTATGATATAATTAAAAATCAATTTACATTTTCTTTAATTAAACAAATGACTTAATTAAATTAAAACCAACTAACCATAATGTGACTCTGATAAGCGTAATATTTACTATAAAAAAGAAAAGATTACATGACGTTCGTTCTCTTTCCAAATGCACAACTTTGGCCAGTAAATTTCATATAAATATAAGCAGTCGACGTAGATTGTATTCAGTTGATATACAGAAAGTGCGAACTGATTAAAATCGGCAAAGCTATGGCTTTAGTAAGTTCACCTCTGAGAAAAACATCTCAGACAATCCGAGTTGCGGTTATAGGATGCGGTTGCTCGGGTATGGCAGCTGCGGCACGTTTAGTGGAAGCGGGTTTTCGAAATGTGTTAGTATTAGAGGCTGAAAATCGTATTGGCGGTCGAGTACACACCGTTGCCTTTGGCGATAGCGTAGCAGATTTAGGTGCTCAGTGGTGTCACGGCGAGAAAGGCAATGCCATCTATGAGACTTTGAGAAATGAAAACCGTTTAGATCTGCTGGCACATACGGACGAGAAGAGCACTTCATTTAAGTGCGTACGTTCCAACAAAGAAGTACTAAGCGATAATGAAGTTCTAAAGTTAAATCATATTCTTACGAAATTAGTAAACAATGATGATGATCTGCATTCATACGAGGGATCTGTTGGTGCCAAATATACCGATATGTTCTGGAGTGAATTCGCTAAATTAACCGATAAGCCCGATCGGGCTATCGCAAGAGAATTATTTGAGAATTGGAAGAAAAATCAATTATCAGGAGATGCTGCTGACACCTTATTCGATGTAGCGGCTTCAGATAAAATCGAATTTTGGGACTGCGAAGGCGATAATATGCTGCACTGGAAGGATAAAGGCTTTCATTCGTTCTTTAATGTATTATTGAAAACTGAAAACTATAAAACGGATATGGGTTTACTGGGCAAAAAAGTTCAATTAAATCAACGGGTCAAATATATCGAATGGCAACGTGAATGCGACAATGAAATTAAAATCACTCTTGATAGTGGCAAAATAATACTCGCTGATCATATTATATGCACCGTATCGTTAGGAGTTTTACAGGAAAATCATGAGATCATGTTTAATCCGCCTTTACCGCTCTGGAAGATGCGGGCTATAAATGGCCTTAAGCTAGGTATAGCTAATAAGTTTTTATTTGAATTTGAAAAGCCCTTTGAGCCCTTAGATTGGAATGGATTTTTTTGCCTCTGGCGTGATGAAGATATTCAAGCTTTACGTGAAAGTGAAAAGTTTTGGTTGGAAAGTGTTTTCGGTTTTATTCGAGTAAAATCCCAACCTCGTCTGCTACAAGGTTGGATAATCGGATCACATGCCCGCTACATGGAAACTTTAAGTAAAAAGGAAATTCTAAAATCTTTGATGTGGATGCTTAAAAAGTTTCTTGCTGTAACTGTCCCAGAGCCGATCAAATTTATACGTACTCAGTGGCATAGTAATAGGAATTTCCGTGGTACCTATAGTTTTCGAAGTCTGGGCACAGACGAGTTACGTACCGGTGCTTGGGACTTGGCGGCACCTTTGATAGACGAGGAAGGTAAACCCATTGTGCAGTTTGCCGGCGAAGCTACCAATAGTCATCATTACGCTACCGCTCACGGAGCTATTGAGAGTGGTTGGCGTGAAGCTGACCGTTTAATTAATTACTATCGATGAAGAAATGCATCCAAATTTCGATTGACCTGTAGAAGGGGGGTTCTTGAAAGCCTGAAATCGTGGAAAAAAGTAATTTTACTCTCATTTCAATTGTCATAACTAAGACTTATGAAGATCTATTCAATTATATAAAATGATATTTAATTGCATTACTTTTTTAGGGAGAAAATTAGGAACATTTTACCGGTGGCTCTTGCAAATAAAAGTAATAAGTGAATCGAAAAGTAGATAATATTTCTAGTAATGAAATTTTACAAAAGACTTGACTTTTCTTTTTTTTGAAAATGTCATTTGCACCAATTCAAACACATACTTCATGTCCAGTTCAAGTATACATTAAGATATTTACGAGCTTGTTTATTATACCCATCATCGAAGGACGAGGCTATATTCATTCTGTCAAAACGTTTGCAACATCCACGAGGAAGTTTCAGAGATCCCCACAAAGTCCATATATGCTTTTGATTAGGTTCAAATTCCCAATCGATTTGAGCATGTTCGTCTGTCCGTGTGTCCATCTGTCTATCTAAAGTTCTCGCTTTCGAAATTGGTACAAGCTCGTGACTGCAAGCTGAGAGGAAGAAATTTTGGGTGTTTAAGTTAACTACTCATGCACTAGCGGCGAATATTCGAGCTAATATTATATGCGCAATCTTGTAGATCCTATACAAAAGTAAAAAGCATCGATCACGCCCATCCAGCATTATAGTAAATCAAAATTTTATTTTTTTTTTCTATAAAAATTATCCAAACATTTTCTACATTTATAAGCGAGTTCTCCATGCCGCCCAGATAGTGAATATAGTGAGTAAAGGTAAAAAAACAATTGAAGGGAGTGAGATTATCTCCGCATTCTCCACACATACACTTCGTCTCTACTGATTCTTTACATATTCTCTACGCGATGTAGAGAATAAGGCACAGAAAATAGGTTGAGAAATTGAATGGATTGCATTCATTTCATGTTTAGCGGCAAATATGTTTTTACACACACGTAGAGAATCTTTAAATGCCCCCGGGGCCAAAGTACGCAATTGTACCAAATTTCATGAAAATATCTCAAAAATTGCGACTTATAGGTTGAACAAAAGAAAACAAGATAGACAGGCGTACAGACAAGACGTTTAAATCGATTCAGAAAGTGATTTAGGAATCGATCGCGTTTATCTCAAATCCTTCTGAGTATTGCATACATCTGCAGTAACTTATTTACTCTCATAGGGTGAAAGGGTAGATATACAGCACTTAACTAAATTCAAAATGAATTTTTTATACCCTGTACCACAAGTGGAATATTAAGTTAGTCCGGACGTATCTAATACTCAGAACGGCGTAAGTTAGACCAACCAATTATTATATCTATCGAGTCGGAATCATTTTCTGAATAGAGCTAAATAAAAATAAATAATTTTCCGTTCCCAACTTTCGGTTCGGCTCTTCCCACTTAACATAAAAGACCTCACGGAATGTTCTTTCTATGAAGCCTTATTTAGCGAAGCTTCAAAGATTGGCCCTCTTTTAAGTTAGCCCTCTGTCCACGCATATAATGAAACAAGCGACAACATAGTAACGGAACGCGGCCCATCCTTAAACACCGTATGTCATCCTACAGCTATTCATAGAACGAGTCTTTCCAATAATTCGTTATATAGGAAGTTTGGTGAGGAAGTGATCGGATTCGCATCATTTTCAATGGCGTTCGTACTTGTGCCTAGACACGACGGTGCAATAAATTGTATCAAAATATGTTGAAAAACGGGCAGAGGCACAGTACAGAGAAACTTTAATCGATTCAGGAAATGATTCTGAAATTTTGATCTATCTCAAGTCCTTCTGGGTGTTATATATATCCGCGAAAATTTTATATACCTTTATGTAGCGACTGGTGTACGGTGCGAAAATGTAAACATAAATGAAAAACGAAACCAAGCGCTATGTTTAGAAGAAGTACTAAAAAAATTCGTTTTTATTGTTTGTCCGGCGTTATGTGCCTATCACTGGTGACAAGTTAAAGTTGTTGCAAATCGAATCAATATCACGTATTGGCTGCGGCTAGGGTCAATTCCTTCGCGAAGTGGATTGACGACGTGAAAGGAATGCTAGAGAACGACGGTAAAAAAGTGCGATACTCACGATTATCTCCTTTCGTTATGTTTTATGGTAATGAAAGCAGTGGAGAAGTAAAGGGTTTACTGACGTTTTTAGGCGAAAAGTTTGCCATTACTCATCATTTGGATGAGAATAACGTTAAAACTCTCCAAGTACTACCTGCTATTAAAAAATTGGATTCAGGTTTTGTCGGGGAAAAGCGTGTAGCATTAAAAAAAGTAACCAATTCCGTTCCAGGAGAGACGCAACTGGCCATAGTCGAGCTGGTGAGTGAAATAAATGATGGACATCAATTCGAAATAAATCTGCCAACAACGTTGTACGAGAAAATACGTGATGAACAATTATCAAGTAATGTAGAAGAAAAGAAAGAACAGATGATGGAGAAAAAGCACGACGGCAACGGGCATTGCCAGCCAACTATCTTCATCACAATTCTATCCACCCTTTATTGTTCATATAGTCATAGATATTTCATCAGTTAACATTCATGTGACGATGATTAATCACTTAATAATAAATAAATTGAGTGTTTTTGCATTTTTCTGAATTTTTTGAATTAATAGCAATGAATGATGGACGGGAAAAGTCCATTAATAATTAATAATAACTTTTGTACGAATCTCGGTGAAGAAAATTTGTCTTCAACTTCCTCAGTAAAGTTTGTATTCCTCCTTTTGTCCCCAAAAAGGACAAATGAACTTAGCCCTAGGCCGTCAAATTAATTCAAAATGGCGGCTTCCAGGATCGTTAAAGACATAACGAAAATATGCAGGCCGATTATTTCTTTGCTTATGGATACTTTAAAGCCTAGTACGCAACATCCCATGGATTCTCTTTCATGGGAAAAATCGGGTGCCCAGGTTGTTATAATGATACGTTCGTGATGTATCTGATTCTCTTCACTTCCATTGTACCATACGAGGGAATCAACAAAGCAGGGCTCGTTTTTTGGGAAAGTTCTGAAAACCTCACCTCTCCTCAAATGATCAGTGGTTACAATCCAATTTAGTAGTCCCTCAGCAAACTTAGCGTTTGCCAAGCTTGAG